CTTTCCCTTATCTTTCTTGTGGAGAAATCTTACTTTTCTTCCACTCTTACATTTGGATCTGGCTACACCACTATGAACATACTAACTTCTTATCATTTTTGCGGGGGGGGGGTTCCAGAAAGACTGACAAAATCATGAAGCCAACTGTTTTTCACAGAAAACACCTGATTTTATATTTTCTGTGAAAAATGCAAAATTGCGATTTACTTAAACCTACTCATGGGGACCCTGAGACCCCACAATATTAACCAGTTAACGAATATTAACCTTCTTAAATCAAAGTATTTTTATTTAGCCATTGGGACAAAGCAGGGCTATCCAACTGGCAGCTTGTGGGCTGTGAGTGGTTAACTTACAGTCTACGGGCTCCTGCTGCTTTTACTTCCTCAGGTTCCCACACTTTTCCCCATGAGTCTGGGTGCTGCTCCCCCAGCCATCACTGCCTCCATTGCCTGCTTCTGCTGCCATTGCCATCTTCCAGCCAGGGTCTCAGTTTTCCCCTAATCCCCTTCCTCCAGCTTCTGCTTTCTGCAGCCCATGGCAAAGACAGTGATGGAGTAATGTAGCCCACAGGGGAAGCAACTACAGGGTGGTGCAGCCCCCAGCCGCTCAGAGGCTGGACAGCCCTGGAATAAAGGATGGGACAAAAAGGGGTTTTAGAACAGCAAACAACCAGTCTATATTTTTCTTCCTATCTAATTATATGCTTCCCTACAAGTTAAGTTTTTATCTTTCCTGGAAGTTAAGCTTTCCTCTTAAGTTTCAGGAATAGAACAGAGTTCACTCAGGGTCTCTCAGGATTTCTCCACACTTGAACTTGTCACTATGGTTAAGCCAGCAGAGCCCCCTTCTGGAGATGGAGCATATCACGATAGAAGGATTTTTCTTTCAGGCACAGCCATACCTCCTCCATGAACAATGTTAATTAAGTGCCAAAAAGAGCAAAACTTTTGGTCATGTAGTTTACCTAAACCATGTTTTTTTCCCCCATCATAACTGTCCTGGGTGTGGAGGGGTTTTTTTTTCCAAAGGGGGGTTGGTTGGTTGGTTGTTTTAATGCTTCTAGATGACACAGTTGTGTTTGGTTAAGCCCAGGTTTACACGACCATTTAGGTCCCCCTGAGTTGGTTGTACTCTTATTCTGACCCAGTCTACTGAAACTGGTTTGAGTGTTCCCCCTCAAGGGGCTGGAGTCAGGAAGGATATGTCTATGCTGCTTCCATAAATTGCTCAATGAGCACTATTTTAAGCATTCTTCACCCATCTAGCCCCACTCATGTATGCCGAATCCAGAAAAGAAGCGGTGAATCTCTGGGCATGCTCCCTGCACCTGCTTCTGAGATCTCTGCTTCTGGCCGGCTTGAGAGCTGCAGCAGGAGGTGTCTTCAGTGGGCTTTGCTATCTCATTTGTAAGAGCACTGGGGAGTGCTGTAGAGCTATCCTAAGGCTCTGGCCTTGTCCCTAAAAGGATATTAAGAAAAAGCTTTTTAGCTGACTATTCACTTTCTTTCAAGAGCTGGGTAGGTTCTGCTCCTCAGCCAGTTCTTTAAGGTGAATTATCCATTCCATTATAGTCCAGAAACAATACAGTACTGATGGATCCAAGTATAATATAATTATGAAAAAGCTCTCCAAATTGGTTACCATTTTTTATTGTGTTATTCTCTAAGATAACTAGCGTAATAAAATTGATAATATTAAAATCATGCTGCCTCTAGTTTAAACTAATACATAATCTTTATGTCATTAACTTTTTCTTTTCTTTTTTTAAAGCTACTTGTTCATAGATCATCTCATATACTGTGTATCCACTCCATGTATATAATCAGTTCTGTAGAAAGTCAAAGTAAAGTTATCTGTAGGATGCCAATTAATATTACAAATAGACCTCAGCATCAGGAAAAGCCTGCTTATACAATGGATGGCATTTAATGACCCGTGCTTTTACTATAAGTAAGCATCTCCCTAAAGCAGGAGTGGGAAAAATAGGGCCCGCAGGCAATATCCAGCCTTCCAGTTGATCATATTTGGTTTGCTGGCTGCCACTGAGAGCCTGAGGAGGGAGGGCTGTGCCCTGCACTGCTCCACTGTGCTGCAGCCAGGACCAGGCTGGGCCATGCAGTACACAGGCTCCTCCACCTCCACTGCCCCAATCCTCCTGCCTGGCTTCCTGTTGGCATTGTGGCTGTGCAGACATGGCACCATGGCTGCCAGCAGTTGGGCCCACACAGGTTGGGTTGCAACGCAGCATACTGAGTAGCAATCTCGTGCATTCAGCAGTCTGCCAACCACAATGAACCACGGTCCCCAGAGCACCACTAGGAGATGAGTCCATGCCGGCCACAGAAGGAGTTTGGGCAGGGGCAGCTGCTCCTGACTTTCCCAGTGTGGTGCGGTGGCAGCAGCTCATTCTGGCGGGCAGGTGGGATAGCTACTCAGTGTGCATAGCACCCCATCCACTGCAGGCCCAGCTCTTAGAAGTCACGGTGCCAGGACTGCGCAGCTCCAAAAGGAAACTCAGCGGGAGGGAGATGGATACTGCCCAGCCCAGCCCAGCCCCATCTGCAGCAGAATGGAGTGGCACAGAGCACAGTCCTCCTTCCTCAGGCTCCCAGTGGCGGCCAACAGGCCAGATAGGAGCAACTTGGATCTTTCCACTCCACCCGTCCCCTGGCCCTCAGCAGCTCATCAAAACTCATTAAGTGTGGCCCTCCATCCCAAATAATTGCCCACCCCTTCCCTAAAGGCTTCTAACATACACCAGAAGAATTAAGCAACAGAAAAGCCGTGCCCCCTTCCTGCATAATTTATACTTATTTACATCACTGATTAATTTAGCTTAATGCCTGGAACTGTAACCCCCTCTTAAGCACCTGGATTTTCATTTACTTTCATTTTTATAGCCATAATGCATAATACTGGCCACATCTACATGAAATGCTGACTGCGTGGTCGTTACTGTGCAGTCATTTAGTAGTTGTTTATACAAGTACTAAATGACTGTACGGTAACCTGAGTTACTGCTCAGTTGTACCAAGGAATGGCTTTTTCGTGACACTGAATAAACAGTAGCTCATGATTACTGCGTGGTAGTGTTGCATCATGCTTCCTGCCACATGATGCTACTGTGCTGTAGTCATGGGCTACTGTGCAGTCAACCGCCATTATAATGCTATTTTTTCAAGTTGTTATGCTAAGATTGATTTGCTTTGCTTCTGTTCAGATTTTTGGATGTTTTGCTCTGACTGAACTTAGCCATGGAACCAATACAAAGGCTATCCGGACAACTGCCCGATATGACCCCAGAAGTCAGGTCAGTGTGTAGTCTACAGCCATAATTTGTTCTGAATACGTTACTGTATGAATTATTTTATTAAAAAATTGGAACAAATTTATTTTAAGTTTTATAATATTAATGCTAATTAACACCTAGCAGAGTACAGCCTGGAATTTCCTTCAATCAGAATATGTCACAGGTATGTTGCCTGCTAATCAGACCACCAAAGTAATGGAACCTGGGTTGTTAGGAAACCAGGTTGATTAGCCTGCCATTTAGCCTGTGTGCCTGCCTACTGTCAAAAGTTTGGATCAGCATGCTTCACCAGAACATTTTAAGGTCATTGAATTGGTGTTGTGAAAAATGTTGTGTCCAAAACTTTCCAACCAGTCTAATCACCAGGTTAGGTCTCAAAGCACTTTACTGAAGAGGTAAACAGAAATGGAAGCTTGAGCATGGAGTGTTCACTTGCATATATAAAATTTTGCAAGCAAAGGTCCTGCTTAATAAAGGTTTATATGCATAGCCTTCTTCACTTACCTGGTCATTGTCTTGCCTTTACTTCAGTCAATTCCTTTCTTTGCCCTGATAAGACTTGCTATTGCAAGCTGTGTGCATATGAAATAGAATAAGTCTTTCTTTTTTTTGTTATATTCCTTAAAGAAGGGTCAGAGATGTAACCTTTTTGATCTGTCATCAGTATTTGTATAACAATACCGAGCTCTTGTAAAGTGCTTTCTGTCAGTGTATCTCATAAAGGAGTGTCAGCCCTCCACTTTACAGATGGAGTAACTGAGGAATAGAAACATCATGTAACTTGTCCAGGGTCAAAGAATCATAGAAAAGGTCATCATGTAGGCTAGCACCATTGCTAGGAATAGACAGCCTTGTGCTATTTATTCCAATTTAGTGCTCTGTGCAGTAGGTCAATTTACTTAATAATAATACATTGCACTTTTCTTCTTCTTCTTCTTAGTACTTTGAAACCTCAGGATTGCAGATTCCTGCAGCTGTCTCTTCCTCCATATGAGGTGGTCCTGGGTGATAGTCTCCCATGAATTAATATCACTGTTGCATTTTTTTAAAGTTGGCCTTAGGGATGTCCCTTAAGGGCTTTTTCAGTCCTTCTGTTGAGCATATACCTTGACTGAGCTGGGAGAATAAAACTTGCTTCAGGAGTCTGGAGTTGGACATTAGGATGACATGGCCGGACCAACAAAGTTGATGTCAGTTGATCATCCCCTCAGTACTCGTGGTGTTTGCTTGCAGGAGGATGCTAATGTTGGTGCATCTGTCTTCCCACTGGATTTAGAGGATCTTCCACAGGCAGCATTGATGACATTTCTCACCTGAGGTGTCTCCTATATGTAGTCCATGTCTTGGCTCCATACAGCAACGTGGGGATCATGACTGCGTGATCAACCATAAGCTTGGTTTTGGATCTGATGTTGCAAACTTTGAACACCCATTTCTTCAGGTGTACAAAGGTTGCACTTGCACATTTGAGGCAATGTTGAATTTCCTCATCCATGTCAGCCTCCTGTGAGAGATGGCTTCTGAAGTCCGGGAAATATTCAACACTCTCCAGAATCTCACTGTGGATCTGGATTACTGAAGGAGAAGACTGTTTATTAGGAGCTTGTTGGTGAAGGACCTTAGTCTTCAGAATGTTAAGTGTCAATCCCAGTTTCTTGTAGCCTCAGTAAAAATGTTTATGTTACAGCTTCTGGGAGCATTTGGATGTCAGATTCACCAGGCTATTGCAAAACATCATTCACATGGTTTTAGTGTTTTGACTCCGTAGTGGCCTAATAATTAAAGAATAGAATTGACACATTATGGCAATCTGCTACCCCATTTTATTTCAGTATTGAATAAATAATGAAAGGAGTCATTATTAACATTTACATATAAAAGCTAGTTAGTCCACAAGAAATATCAACGTGCACACACGTTTTTAACAAAGCTTTAACTACCAGCTCACCTGTCTTCCAGGATGTCCTGCTTTGCTCTTCCAGTTTTCTTGTTATGCTGAAATGGATGTTACGTTGTCTTTTAGCAGAGCAGCTGAACGCAGGTTTTCCACAATGAGCATAATCCAGTCAACCATGAATTTAAACATTTATGAAGGCAAATACAAGCAGGGGCTTGATGCAGTTATGAGCAAATGACCCAGCTGTAGATGCTTCCAGTCCATTCAGTCTCAGTGGAGGGGTTTGGGAATTAGAAGGGAAAAGGTAACAGTCACACAAACACTCAAAAAGAAATACAGCCAGGCCTCGGAGGACTAGACCAGTGCTATTCTCTGTGGTCAAATCTACATATCCATGTCATGTTATAGTGTTAACCTTAATTTGAAATGAATGAATGCATAAGCTCGGCTTTGACTGCCATTTCCGACTTTGGTGACCGTGAAGAAACTACACATCGTGGATGTCAGCAGGATATTGAATCTCCTTGGCCTTGTCTTTCAACCATTTGTTCTTCATATCATGGATCCTCCTTTGGACCTCTGCCTTGGTTTGTTAGAGATTCATTTTCTTTTGCTTGTCACCGATCAACTCTTGGATCTCCCAGTCATTCTCATCAAACCAGTCTTCATGTTTCCTGATAGAGAATCCAAGTTTATCTTCACAGGCACTGATGACAGTGGCCTTGAGTGCACCTCACACACTGCTGACATTCTTTTATTGTTGTTCATTGGAATTCACCAGTTTTTCTTTTTGGTACTGGTTGGAGAGGTCTTGTTTGCTTGGGTCCTTGAGTTGATCAATGTTAACCATCTGTCAGCATTCCTTCTGCTGCAGCCACCATTTGGGAGCCAGTTTGAGTGACATAACTGAGTGGATGAGTCAGTGATCAGTCCAGCAATCATCAGCTCCTAGCATACTCAAGTGATGCAGACATCTTTGCAATCATGACCATAGACAATGACATAGTCACTCAGGTGCCAATGCTTAGATGGTGGGTATTGCTGTGATAACTTGTGCTTGTTTTTCTGGTGGAACAGGGTGTTGGTGATGGGGAGTCCATGTTCTGCACATTTGACCAACAGAAGGATGCTGTTGGAGTTCACCTTTCCTACTCCTTCCTTGCTGATGGCTCTGTTCCAGAGGTTATATTTCCTTCTGACTCTAGCATTGAAATCACCAAGAAGAATAAGTCTGTCTGCTTTGAGAACATCAAAAAGAACTTGGTCAAGGTTGGCATAGAATTTCTTCTTGGTTTCATCAGAAGCATCAAGAGTCAGTGCATACAACGATGATGACATTGGCATATTGGCTCCCCACCTGTTTAAGACACAGAGTCATGAGGCACTCATTAATTCCAAAAGAGAACTCATTGGTTATCCTCATTCTTTATGACAAAACCAACTCTGTGAAGTCAGCATTCTCCTTTCTGTTTCCCCTTCCAGAAAAAGGTATAGCCGCCTCCATGTTCTTTTCTCTGTCCATCTCCCACTCACCTGGTGTTGCTTAGTGCAGTGATGTTGATATTGTATCACCTGAGTTCTTGAGCCATGGTTGTGATATGGCACTCTGGGTATTCACTATTAGGGTTGTTCATTAGGGTTCTGATGTTCCGGGTCCCAAAAGTGATTGTGTGACTTTGCTGGTATTTTTAACCACAGTAAAGGTGATCCCAATGGAGGCACTTATCCAGTCAAGAAGAAATACAGAATACTATATTAGCCAGGCTATGTTAGGGAACCTTTTCTAGCCCCTTCCCCATGTGGGGTGAAGAGAGCAGCCTGAAAGAGGGCTGCTCAGTCACAGCTGCTGAATTGCACTCCTGTCTTGTCTAAGTGCTGGACGGCCTCTTTGTAACTCTTCTCTTCATGCTAGTTCAAGACTAGGACCTTCCACACCTCACAGTCCCACTTCTGTCACCATTAGCTAGTCATCAAAGTGCTTGAGGAATGTTCTGGGAAAGCTTTTTTCTTGAAAGATGCCTGTGTGTGACTTCATTTATCATGGAGAAGCTGCTGCACATCAGCTTCCACAAGACTCCAGAATGGGGCAAGGAGACCAAGACAACCAAGCATCTCATTTTACTGCAGCCTTCATCTGCTTTCAGAGCTGTTGAGATTATAGCATCTTCTTCTGTCTGCTCCATCATTGAAGATTTGTAGTCCCATGGCTTGGGGCTGGTCAGGCTTATTATAGTGGTGACCTGTACTTGCCATGTCACAGGACCATCAAAGGCTATATGTGGCTTTTCAGGAGGGAAAGCATTGTCATCTGCTGTCCTTTCCACATCCTGGTAGTGCTTCCAGTGCTTGGGCCACGACCACTAGGTACCAGTACGGCTCTGCCCCAAAGATTGCATTTATAGTCCCTTGTATAATCAACAAGAATGGAAAAAGTTAATTATCTTCATAACAGTTTTGTCAGGTCATTAGGTAGGTAGATAGCCACTATTCTCATGTAACCAATTAGGGGAATTAAGAGAGAGTGAGAATAAAAGTTTAGACTCATAGACTCAAAATTCAAGAATGCTTAGATATGCTGCTTTCTAAGCCAACATTCCAGTCTCTCAAACAGATATTCATTTTTCTATATGTAGTGTAAGACTGAAGGCAGTTTTTCTGTTTTAGTCACTTAGGGAAAATATAGATATCAGGTACCTGTCCTCGAGTGAACTCAATGAGGGCACAACCTGTCTTACCTGTAAAGGAGGTGTACACCCAATGGAAGGGAGGGGCCATCACCAGGGAGGACTATACCTCGGTTGCTCAGGGCTGTAGGGGGGCAGTCAGGAAGGCCAGGGCAGAGATAGAACTGGGACTAGCTACAAGGACAACAAGAAGTCCTTTTCTAAATACATAGGGGGTAAAAAGAAGGTACCAGGTGACACGGAGCCTCTGCAAGACATGCTAGGAAATCTGGTTATCGCACCAGATGACAAAGCTAGCCTATTTAACAATTTCTTTGCCTCCATTTTTCTAAGCAGGAACTGGGTCCCCCCCCTCCCCACCGGGACCCCAATAGGCCCCAGGGGAGGCACACCCAGGCCTAGGGTCAGTGAGGATCTAGTCAGGGAACTTCTGGAGGGACTGGACATATTTAAATCAGCTGGTCCTGATGATCTCCACCCCAGAGTGCTGAAGGAATTAGCAGAAGTCATTGTGGGACCCCTGGCATGGCTTTACAAGCACTCATGGTGCTCTGGCATGGTGCCAGAGGACTGGAAAAGGGCCAATGTGGTTCCCATTTTCAAAAAAGAAAGGAAGGAGGACCCAGGAAACTATAGGCCAGTTAGTCTTACCTCAATCCTGGAGAAGCTTTTTGAGAGAATTATCCTGGTGTATGTCCTCGAGGGGCCAGCAGGGGAGATTATGTTTAGGAGCAACCAACATGGGTTCATTAGAGGCAGGTCCTTTCAGACCAACCTGGTGGCCTTCTATGACCAGGTTACAAAATCCCTAGACACAGGTGTAGCAATGAACGTAGTCTTTCTGGACTTTAGGAAGGCCGTCGACACTGTCTCACCCCATTCTCATTAAAAAACTAGGGGACTGTGGTGTCAACACCTACACAGTTAAATGGGTCACTAACTGGCAGGAGGGCTGCACCCAGAGAGTGGTGGTGGATGGGTCTTATTCGACCTGGAGGGATGTGGCCAGTGGGGTTCCGCAGGGCTCGGTCCTCAGGCCCGCACTGTTCAACATCTTCATCAGCGACTTGGACGACGGGGTAAAAAGCACTCTGTTCAAATTCGCAGATGACACTAAGATATGGAGGGAAGTGGGCACACTAGAAGGGAGGAATAGGCTGCAATCGAACCTAGACAGGTTACATGGGTGGGCCAATGAGAACAGGATTCCTTCTCATCAGTGAAGAGGCAGAAAAGGATCTTGGAGTTATTATTGATGCCAAGATGTACATGGGCCAACGGTGTGGGGAAGTGGTCAGGAAGGCCAACCGTACCTTGTCATGCATCCACAGATGCATCTCAAGCAGGTTCAAGGAGGTGATCCTCCCCCTCTATGCAACACTGGTCAGGCCGCAGTCGGAGTACTACATGCAGTTCTGGGCGCTGCACTTCAGAAGGGATGTGGACAACATGGAGAGGGTCCAGAGGAGGGCCACTCACAATATCATGGGCAGGCCCTATGAAGAAAGGCTAAGGGACCTGAACCTGTTCAGCCTCCACAAGAGAAGGCTGAGGGGGGATCTAGTGGCCATTTACAAACTAGTCAGAGGAGACCAGCAGGCATTGGGGGAGTCCCTGTTCCCCCGACCATACCAGGAGTGATTAGAAATAATGGTCACAAGCTGTCAGAGGGTAGATTTAGACTAGACATCAGGAGGTGCTACTTCACTATCAGGGCGGCTAGGATCTGGAACCAACTTCCAGGAGAAGTGGTGCTGGCTCCTATCCTGGGGGTCTTTAAGAGGAGGCTAGATGAACACCTTGCTGGGGTTGTTTGACCCCAGTACTCTTTCCTGCCATGGCAGGGGGTCAGACTTGATGATCTGCTCAGGTCCCTTCCAACCCTACCAACTATGAAACTATAAATCAAGTTTTTAGAATCTCCAGGGCACTTCCCCAACTTTCATTGATTAAATTTGAGGTCTGAAATTGATGATCACATTTTTGTCTCTCCTTTATCTATCTCCTATATCTCTAGATATACATTTTTAAAAATAAGTTTAGAATATTCAACAATGATTACATTTTATTGTTGTGAAGATGTTGGACTGAGATACAGGTCTTTTAAAAAAGTTACTCTTGCAATGAATAAAAATTGATAAAAGATGACTGTTCATTGGTATGTATGATTCATGTGGCATTCTTCTTTCTGGCTTCCATAGGAATTTGTCATCAACACTCCTGATTTTGAAGCTGCCAAGTTTTGGATTGGTAACATGGGAAAAAATGCTACTCATGCTGTTGTGTATGCCCAGCTCTATACTCTGGATGGAAAATGCCATGGATTGCATACCTTTATTGTACAGGTAGAAAATATATGCTTCTTTAACAGGCTGGTTTACTTTCAGTTTGTTAATCAAATGAAGACTTTAACACTTATTATGTATTAGCAAATTTTCTGATTTTAAATAATTGCTGTATTTTTGAGACAGAAATACATTCCATTTTATAGGAGCAGCTTATAACAAGAAAATACAAATGCTCCAAATATTCCTTAATATTATATCATATACACAGTTTAAAATAGATACCCCAACTGGACATTTTCACATGTGTCAGAGTGCACGTGTAGGGGCATGTCCCTGGAAACTCATACCTTTGCACATGGAGATGCACTCAGAGTGGGTTATGCAAGGAACATTCATCAGTGTCTTATACGTTTTCCATACTTTCATGTGTAACCTAAGCACTTGGTGACAGGAAACCTAGCCTGGTGGGAGACAGAAGTATTGGTAGACCGGTTAGTGAGATGACTATAGTTGGTAAATTTTTGTCAGTATTGCATTTTCAAAGGAACCAAAACTATTTGTAAATTTGGATTGAATTTGGTGAATAGTTTCAACTGAAAAAATAGGGAATTAAAAACTGATTTTTTTTGTTTTGATACAATGGCATTTTTTATTTAAAAATTGGTCTTTTCAGTTATTAAAAAAAAAAAAGAAGAAGAAGAGGGAAATGACCTAAAAACAATACTTTTTTTCTTTGAGTCCAGCAAAACATTCTTGGTTGTCCCAAAATGGAATATTTTGGGCTGTTTGTTTTGCTGGAGAAGTTCTGTTTTTCCATTTCTGGCCGACCAAAAAAGCTTTTTGCTGTTGTGGATTGTGGTGTTTTTCATTTTGGCTAGGGACAGACATTACACAAAAACCAGTTTAAGTGATCAGAAACTGGTTTAAATCTGCTACAAAATAGACATTTGGTGCACAGAAACCAGTTTCAAAATGGCTGAAACTGGGTTAGGATAAACCTGGTTGAATGTAGTATATCAGACTCAACTGATTTGGCTCAAACCGATTTATGCAATGTCTGTCCCAGACCCCTTGCTGGTTTAAGATAAACCAGACACCCCCAGCATCCCAGCATGCTCTCTGGGCTGGGCGGAGCTCTCTGCTCCACAGCAGGGCTGGACCCTCCCCTCCACTCCCTATCCAGAGCAGGGACTGGCCCTAGCAGAGACACTGGCTGGCATGGCCCCATTAAGGCAAAGTGGGCAGGGAGGAAGTTAATTCTTCCTTCCCCTCTTCCCACACCACAGCTGGGATCTGCCTGTCTGTTGGGGAGCAGAGGGGAGGGAGCTGCAGTGATGGCCCCTGGAGCTGGCAGACCCCAGCTGAAGGGAAGGGACAGAGGGAGGAATTAACCCTTCTCTTAATCCTTCTGCCTGCCCCCTTCACCTTAATGGGGCCATGCTGGGTAGGTTGTCCTTCAGGGTGGGGAGGAGGGATTTGTTCCATGCTGGTGGGGGACTCTTCCCCCTCCTCCTCCTCCCAGGGTGGAGAGGGGGACTCTGTGAAGCACTAGATGGGGACTCTTCATCCTCCTCCCCTTCCCCCCAGAGAGGCAGCAGGAGTGCAGAGCTCAGCTGGGCAGGGTGTGGATGTGTGGGGTGTGAGGGAGGGTGGGGAGTGGAGTGTAGGGGCCCCCATACACTCTCTCCATGGCATGCATCCCCCGCTGCCTGGCAGCAGCAGCAGGTGGGGATGTCAGGGCGCTCATACCCAGCACAGGTGCGGCTCTGTCCAGTGCTGTGTGGGGGGAGGGAGCAGAACTTGACTTATCCCCATGGCTCTGTTCCCCACGCCTGTAGCTCCAGCCCTAGCAGTGGAGGAAGCCCCGCATGGAGCCTGCTGTCTCCCCTGCTCCCGGCTGTGCCGTCCCCGCACTCTGCCAGGAGTGGAGGGAGCCCTGCCCCTACTTCCAGGTGGAGTCCAATGCAGGCCTTCCCCGCTGCGAATGTAGAGCTGCAGACACATGGTACAGAGCCCAGGAGATAGAAGTGGCTGGGCAGGCTGTGCTGGGCTGCGCTTCTTGCCCCCAACCTAGCCCTGACTGTCTCTATCATGGCTCTGAGCTGTGCCTGGAGCTCTGCACTCACACGGGGAAACCCCGTGCTAGACTCTACAGGGAAGCAGGGGTCAGGACTCCCTCCACTCCCGGCAGAGTGCAGGGACTGTGCAGCCCGGAGCAGAGGAGACAGCAGGCTCCAATGCAAGATTTCCCCTGCTGCTAGTGCTGGAGCTACTGGTGCAGGGAGCAGAGCTGCAGGAATAAGGCAAGCTGTTTCCTCATCCATGCAGCACTGACCTCAGTCATGCCTGCACCAGGAACAAGCGCCCTGATGTCCCCGCCTGCTGCTGCTGCCAGGCAGCAGGGGCTGCACACCATGAGGGGAATATGTGGGAGTCCCTACACCCCCTCCCCTACACCCTACCCAGCTGAGCTCCATGCTCCCACTGCCCCTCTGGCAGGAGGAGGAGGTGGAGAAGGAAGAGTTTCCCCCAGCTTGGAACAGAGCCTCCCCCTGCCCTGGGGGGTGAGAGGAGTGTGGGGAAGAGTTCCTCTCTAGGGATGGGCAGCATCCCATACAGCCCCCTCTCCCCACCCCACAGCGATGGCAGAAAACCAGGGGGAAGAGTCCCCCTCTAGGGCCAGGCAGCCTCACAGAGCCCCCCTCCCCACCCTCCTGTGGCAGCAGGGGAGGAGGAGGGAGAGGAGCCCCCCCCACAGCACTGAACAGGGCCTGCCTCCCAGCCCCACAGCGGTGCGGGAGAGGGAGGAGGGGGAAGAGATCCCCTCTGGGGCTGGGCAGCCCTGTGTGCCAAGATCGCTCTCAGCTGTCAGACAGCCGCTGGGGTTGGGCTGCCAGGGCCTGGCCACGCACCCCCCAGCTCAGCTTCCCTGTGGAAGAGAGGGCTGCTCTAGCACTGCTGGGCTTCTGGCTTGAGCCACTGCAAGCATGTACTGAGCATCTATCCACTTGCAAACCGGTTTACTCTCTGCAGGTTAGAGAGAATAACCTACAAAGATTGAATCAATTCAGGCTGGGGCTTTTTGAATATCTGTCCCTAGCCTTTGTCACTGGAGCCAAAAAAGTCTGTTGTTCACCCAGCTGTTCATGTTATATTTTCAGAAAATGTTGTCTTACAGCATCCATCATAGAGCAATCTCTTACTGTCTCTTACTATCTAGTGGTCTACAATCAGTACTACCTTCTGGCCCCTAAATAACCATAAAAGACAAAGGAGGCACAGATGAGTATAGAATAGCGATTAATGATGCATTAGTGGAAGGTTCTTGAGTAACTACAGCAGCTTTCCATAAAGCACATGCTATTTTTCTATTTTCCTTAGCTTTTCATTGTTTGCGAGTGGTCACCCATTAAAGTCCATCACTGAGCATTTGAATCTGATTCTAGTCCTAATAATACAGCACTATCAAAGGCAGTGGAAGTTCTACTATTGACGTTAGTAGGGACTGAAATATGGACTTATCTTAAGCCTAACTCTCACTAGGTCATCCCAGACCATAGTCAGTTTACATGACCTTTTGGGGTGATGATCAGGGAATTGTCAAAGTAAAAAAGACTTTCTAGACATCAACATCAGATTTTAAGGAATTAGGATTTGTGAATGGTTACTGAATCATACCTGTAAATAAAGGAAGAAGGTTGTTTACAAAAATGAAATAAATGCAAGTAAAGGACCTGATGCTAGGAGAAGTGTCTTAATATATGTGCTATTTTCATTTTTTTAATGGAAGTATAGACTTCAGAACTTGTGGCCAGACCCCTGGGAAAGTTTCCTCCTTGACACGAGCCAATATTTCAAGCCTGTTTGTAGGGTACTAATACTTACCCTTATCTCAAAACTAATCTGATAGAACAGTGTTCTATGCACAGAGGTCAGCATAGAGGATCAGAGCTACGGTCACTAGAAAATGTGCAGGTGCAATGGCAAATTCTTAAACAGACCGGTTGCTGACTGGATGGACTGTGTTACACATCCCTGGGAAAGACAGGAAAAAGAAAGATATGAAAGGAGTCAGATTTGTTAATTTTTAGTCATGCCCACATAGACCAGAAAGTTTTCATACTAGAAAATTTTCAAATTTTCAGGAATATAAATGAAAGCGCTCATTCTGAGAGTCATAATACAATAATATTGAGACAAATCAATTGATTTGTCAAATCAATTGATAATAATATTGAGACAAATCAATAATATGGAGGTATTTTTTTTGTGTAACAGATTAGAGGGTTCATGCAGAGAGATGCACATTGGGCCATGATAGCATAATTAGAGGCAAATAAACCAAGAAATGGGAAGCCATCCAAGTCATTTTTATTACTTGTTCCCTGTCATGGATGAGAGTGAATCATAAGGATCACATTCTACTTTCCTGTATATGGTAAATTGTAGGATTTTTATAAAAAATCTAATTACCAACTATAGGAATATTTTCAGTTTGAAAGAGGTCACTGAGAACTTTAATTTTTCTAATGACTAAAATATTGTATCATTTAATTTCCACACAGATTCGAGATACAAAAACATTGTTGCCAATGCCTGGAGTGATGGTAGGTGACATAGGAAAGAAACTTGGGCAGAATGGTTTGGATAATGGGTAAGTTCAGTTTAAAAAGTACCATATTTACGTATCTTTTTCTTTGGCAATTCCTTGCAGTCAAGGATGATTGTCTTCGATGGTTGCCTAATCTGTCAGTCCAAAAATGGCTGATGAGGCCAAACTGGAATCAACAGACTCTGTTGCAACTTGAGCACATTTCGAGCATGTGGGGCAGGTGGGGCTGGATTTTTAATTTAGTTTTCAACACACTGTTTCTGCCCATTTTTTCCATCTCCTGTTGTCATAATAAGGTTTCAAAGTACTGAGATCCTTGCAGCAGAATTTTCCTCTGTTTGGGGCAGTGCTGGGTAATTGTCTCCCAGGAGTTGATGTCAATGTTGCTTTTTTTTCCAAGTTGTTCTTGAGGACATCCTTCAAGTACTTTCTCTGACCTCCTCTTAAGCATATGCCTTGATTGAGCAGGGAAAATAAAACTTGCTTCAGAGTCTGGAGCTGGACATCTGGATGACATGGCTGGCCCAACAAAGTTGATGTCAGATGATCATCACCTTAATGCTCGTACTGTTTTTTCGCAAGAGAATGCTAATATTGGTACATCTGTCTTCCCACTGTATTAGAAGGATCTTCCACAGGCAGTGTTGACTTTACTTCTCCAAAGTTGAGGTGTCTCCTATACACTGTCCGCATCTTAGCTCCATACGGTAAGGGTTCTACGAGAGATGGCTTCTGAGGCCCGCAAAATACTCAATGTTCTCTAAAGTCTCACCGTGAATCTGAATTAACTGGGGGCAGCTGGGGACTGCTTGTTAAGAGCTTGTCAGTGAAGGATCTTAGTCTTCTGAATATTAAGCATCAGTCCCATTTTCTTGTATTCCTCGGTAAAGATGTCAATGATTGCCTGAAGTGAGTCCACATAACAGCATCATCAGCATACTGGAGCTCAGTGATTGAAGTCAGAGCAGTCTGCATTTTGGCTCAGAGTTGGCTGAGACTAAACAGCTTACCATCCATTCAGTAGTTTAGGTCTACTCTGACTGGAAGCTTGTTGGTGGTCAGATGTAGCATTGCAGTAAGGAATATCAAGAAGATACTTGTAGCAATGTCACAGCCTTGCTTAATTCCCATCTTAACCTCAAAAAGATCTGTGATAGATCTGTTACTGAGAACCACTGCTCGCATACCATCATGAAGCAAACAAAGAATGGTGACAAATTTTAGTGGGCACCCATGAAAGATTGTCCATGGAGGATCTTCCACAGTGCTTCTCAGTTGACAGTTGAAGGCTTTTCTGTGGTCAAAGAACGCCATTAGGGAAGGGTTTATGTTGTTCTTGGCATTTTTCCAGCAGCTGGAGATCATGCCATTTGTTCCTCTTGAAGCCCTAAACCCACAGTGAGATTCCAGGAGGAACTCTTCAGCAAGTAGAAGGAGATAATTCAGGAATGTTCTCATAATGATCATAGAATCATAGAAGTAGGGTTGGAAGGGACCTTGTAGGTGTTCAAGTCAGACCCTCTGCCTGGGCAGGAGGGAAACTGGGCTCAAGTGACCCCAGCCAGGTAGGCATTGAGCCACTTCTTAAAGACCCCCAGGGTAGGAGCCAGCACCACTTCCCTTGGAAGTTGGTTCCAGATCCTAGCCACCCTAACTGTGAAGTAGTTCCTACGGATGTCTAATCTAAACCTACTCTCCAACAACTTGTGGCCGTTATTCCTTGTTATCCTGGGGGGTGCTAGGGGAAACAAGGTCTCCCCCAAACCTTTCTGGTCCCCCCTAGTGAGTTTATAGACAGTCACAAGGTCCCCCCTCAGCCTTCTCTTGTGGAGGCTGAACAGGTTCAGGTCCCATAGCCTCTCCTTGTAGGGTCTCCCCTGCTGTCCCCAGATCATGTGGGTGGCCCTCCTCTGGACCCTCTCAATTTATGTGTGTGACCCTCCTCTGGACGCTCTCAATGTTGTCCACATCCCTCTTGAAGTGGGATGCCCAGAACTGGACACAGTATTCCAGCTGTGGCCTGACCAGTGTCGCGTAGAGGGGGAGGATCACCTCCTTGGCCCTACTTGAGATGTACCTGTGGATGCACGATAGGGTCCGGTTAGCCCTGCTGACCGTGACCTCGCATTGTTGGCCCATGTTCATCTTGGAGTCAATGATGACTCCAAGATCCCTTTCTGCCTCCGTGCTCTCAAGAAGGGAGTTTCCCAACTAGCGTGCCCACCTCACCCCAAATTCTGGTATCATCAGCAAATTTGAACAGGTTGATTTTCACCCCGTAGTCCAAATCGCTGATAAAGAAATTGAACAGCGTGGACCCAAGGACTGAGCCCTGGGGGACTCCGCTGCACCCTTGCCCCCAGGTTGAATATGACCCGTCTACCACCACCCTCTGAGTACAACCCTTCAGCCAATTAGCAATCCATCTGACCGTGTAGGCATCGATGCCACAGTCGCCTAGTTTTTTAATGAAGATGGGGTGGTCGACAGTGTCAAAGGCCTTGCTGAAGTCCAGAAAGACTACATCCACGGCAACACCTGCATCCAATGCTTTTGTGACCCGATCGTAAAAGGCAATCAGGTTGGTCTGACATGACTTGCCCCTAATGAAACCGTGCTGGTTGCCCCTAAGCATCACCCCCGATGCTGGCCCATCACAGATGTGCTCCTTGATGATCTTCTCAAAGAGTTTCCTCAGGATTGAGGTAAGACTGACGGGCCTATAGTTACCCGGGTCCTCCCTCCTCCCTTTCTTAAAGATGGGGACCATATTGGCTATCTTCCAATCATCTGGCACCTGGCCCGAGCACTATGAGTGCTCGTAAAGCCATGCCAAGGGCCCTGCAATAACTCCTGCTAGCTCTCTCAACACCCTGGGGTGGAGAGCATCTGGACCTGCTGACTGGAACACGTCCAGCCCCTCCAGAAGCACTCTAGCCCGGTCCTCCTCAACCTTAGGTCTTGAGGCATTCCCCTCAAGTCCGTCTTGAAACACGGTGGGGGAGTCCCGGTCCCTGCCCAAGAAAATGGAGGTGAAGAATTTGTTAAAGATGTCTGCCTTCTCTGGCGCAACCACCAGATTGCCTAGCGCATCTTGCAGGGGCCCCACATTTCCCGGTGCCTTCTTCATCCTCCCAATATATTTGAAAAAAGACTTTTTATTATCTTTGATCTTGGATGCTAGTCCTAGCTTTATGTCCGCCTTAGCTTTTCTAACAGTCCCACTACAGGCCCGAGCAGTGGAGGTATACTCTTCTTTCCTGTGGAAGACAGCAAGGCAATCCCTCTGTAATTTCCACAGTTGGACTTGTCTCCTTTCTGGAAGATTATCATAATCATGGCTTCCCTGAAGTCATCTATGATTTCCTCATCATCATTCCAAACCCTGAAGATGAGGGCATGAAGCTCTGATGTGACCTCCTCTCCCCCCCTGCTTGAAGATTTCAGCAGAAGTTCCAGCACCTCCAGAAGTCTTGTCATTCTTCATCTTCTTGATGGCTTTCTTCACCTTGTCAAGGGCTTTAGGGATTCCATGATAGTCTCTGACTGGGTATTTTGAGATGGGGTTGCGAATACTCTTGTCAAAAGCAGAGTCTCAATTGAGAAGGTCTTCAAAATGCTCCATCCAATGGGTGTTGATGGCTCTTCTTTCCTTGATCAGGTATCCTCCATCCTTAGGTCCCAAGGGTGTTGGTTCCTGAGTATTTGGGCCATTGATGACTTTGGCATTGAAAAAAACATTGTATATCATGGGTATTAGCAAGATGTAGAATCTCCTTCACCTTGTCTTCCCACCATCTGTTCTTCATATTTCAAGTCCTTCTTTGAACCTCTGTCTTGGCTTGTTGAAGATTCAATTTCTTTTGCTTGGAGTTGATATCATTTTGCCAAGCACAAAGGGTCTTTGCACTTGTGATTGATCAACACTCCCAGTCATTCTCATCAAACCAGTCTTCATGTTTGCTAGTAGAAAATCGAAGTGTCTCTTTGCAGGTGCTAATGACAGTGGACTTGAAGGCCCCCAAGTGCTGCTGACATTCTCCCATTATTGTTAATTTGAATGTGCCAGTTTTCTGTTGAGGCACTGGTGGAAGAGGTATTTCTGGATTGGATCCTTGAGTCCTTTGATGTTGATTTTCCATTGGCATTGCTTCTGCTGTAGCCATTGTTTGGGCTTCAGTTTGAGTAAGATAAGCAAGTGGATGTGTTGGTGATTGGTCCAGCAATCATCACTCCTTAGCATAGATCAGGTGATATGGACATCTTTGCGATCCTGGGTACAAACAATTATGTAGTAAGTTAGGTACAAATGCCTACATTGTGAGTGATGCCATGATGCCTTGTGCCTGTTTTGCAGATGGAACAAGGTGTTGGTGATTGTCACATTTGGTCAAAAAGAGGATGTTGTTGGAGTTTACCTTTCCTATTCCTTTCTTGCTGATTGTTCCATTCCAGAGGTTTCAGTTCCTTCTGTCTCTGGTGTTGAAATCACCAAGAAGAGTAAATCTGTTTCCCTCCAAAATGTCAGAAAGGACTTGGTCCACCAGGCTACTGCAGATCATCATTCACATAGCTTGTGCTTTGACTCCATAGTGGCCTAGTAATTAAAGGATAGAATTGACTCATTATGGCAATCTGCTACCCGATTTTATTTCAGTATTGAATGAATAAGGAAAGGAGTCATTATCAGCATTTACATATAAAAGCTAGTAGTCGCAAGAAATATCAGTGCGCACACAGGTTTTTAACAAAGCTTTAATCACCAGCTCACCTGTGTTCCTGGATGTCCTGTTTTGCTCTTCTAGTTTTCTTGTTATTCTCTTCTAGCATGGCAGCTGAATGTAGGTTTTCCACATTGGGCATAATCCAATCAAGCTTAAACATTCATCAAGGCAAACAGAAGCAAGGGCTTCATACAGTTGTAAGTGAATGACCCAGGTGTAGATGCCTACAGTGTACTCAGTCTGTTTACTAGGTTGGGGGGGGGGGAGTTGGAAATTAGAAGGAAAAAGGTAAGAGTCACAGCAAGCTCTCAAAAGGAA